ATACCAAAGCAAATACTCGAAACCTCAGAGTTCTATATCACTGTGATAACCAAACGGACAATTAAACCATACTGTTTAATTTCTGACCACCAAAATGTTCTATTGTATGTATTTTCTACGTATTATTTATTATTGACAAAAAAGTTTATCGTTACACAAGGACCTTTAGGACTTCAACAATTATGCAAGGTAGATAAACAAAACTGGATTCATTTGAAAACCAAAAAATCCTATTGTTGTTTTTTTCCAAAAAAAATATTTTTGTCTGTTTCCTGAGGAATTCTTTAACCATAAGTTTCTTCAATTCGTCAACATTCCTTGTCATCCCTTTTTTAACGTTATTTTTTATATATTTTCAATGTTAGGGCTGTTGAATTTCCAGTCTATTATACGAATTCTTTTTTCAGTAACGAAAGTTTTTGCGCCGCGTAATTTGTTTCAAACGACATGCAATAAGCGTTTATTATCATGCAAAGCGAAAATTTTTTTTTTTTGAAACACAACATAGTGTATATCAAAATAAACGTTCACGAAGAACAATACTTAATTATTAAAACAGCTCCGTGAATATTAATATTGAATATACCACAATTACACTATCGATTGATTGATGTTGGAGGAATGACGTTCAGGTTTGGTAATTCGACTAAAATAAAATTTTTTTTTTGAGAAAAAATAATAATACTAATTCATCAGCTATTTCCGCAATCAATAGTGCCACAATTTCTTTTACCGCACAAAAATGGTTTCATTGCTATTTTGAATTGATCTCTGAGGAGCTAATAAAATTACTATGTTACACTCCTATTAAAAGGATTACTTAATTTGTTTAATTTGTATATACATAATTGAATAACATACTTTTATCTATCTTGTGCAACTGGTAATTTCGTGTACCCAAAAAATATTCACAGCCGCGGAATAGAAACTCGAATACCTTTTTTAATTGATTGCGTACAATATGGCAAAAAATCATTGTTAATAATAGTTTTAAAAAGGAGATAACTTCCCATTTCAAATCATTATAAAAAGACTCGGTTTAAACCCATATTCTTTTCATCAAAAAATCCAAAAAATTTATATTATAATCATTATTGTTCTAATATATTTATTAAAATCATATTTCTGTTATTGAATTAATATAAACATAAAAATATCTTTATTCCGACGCACTTTCAAATGAAGAATTTCATCTTAATCCTTGTTCTTGTGTCTTTCTTCGGATCCTTCGGATCTTTTGCTGCTAAACCTGCACCAGCTCGTGTAACTGCTATTCTAAGTATTCAGGATGTAACTTGTCCAGTTGAATGTACAGGTGGTACATGTTGTACGGATATTAACTATTATTGCTGTAACGATGATCTTGGAGGGTGTTGTGAAATTGGAACAGAGTGTACTACTGATAGCTACACATGCACATGATAGTAGGGAGAGAATATTTATTTGAAACCAAGTAAAATATTGCTTTGGATTTTTCAACAATATGTATAAAATTTTTGTTATAAATAATTCAATATTTAGTATACGAAAAATAATCATGTAGTTAGTTTATATTTTATTCGCTTATTTTTCTATTATGTATAACTGTAATAATAAAAACATTGATATTAACTATTTATTATTATTAATTTAATCAAATCGTGTTTTATTATTATTGGGGTGATGTGTTTGGATACGAAATTCAAATTGACTACGTACGTGAATTCTAGCCCGTATTATCAAGGATAGATTATACAAGAAAGGTTGTGTTGCATTATTCATTGTAAAATATTTGGTGGGACAAAACACATAATAATGGTATAAAAAATTTTTTCAGATAATGTATTAGTATGGTTTTTCTGTGCATTTTGTATGGAATATGCACGGAATTATACATGAAAAGAGCACTTTTCCGTACATATTTGTCCTGAAAATGCACAGAAAATGCATATGAAAATGTACGGAATGTAATTTTCTGAAAATTCCATACATATTCCATGCATTTTTCCATGTACTTTTCATACATTTTCAGGGCATTTTCAGGGCAAATATGTACGGAAAAGCGCTCTTTTAATGTATAATTCTGTACGTATTCCATATGGAATATGTGGAAAATGTATGGAAAATCCATACCTTTTCTGACTAAATTTTTTATAGGGTTTATGAACAAAATATTCTAACGATTTTTTATCGATTATTCAATAGTTTGTACAAGCGTTAAGGACAAGATCTATGAAACTTGCAAAATATTCTAATAAACATTTTATCAATTATTCAATATTTTGTGCAGGAGTTATCGAAGTAAACTTTAAGGACAAGATTTATGAAGCTTGCAAAATATTCTAACGAATGTTTTATAAATTATTCAATAGTTTGTATAAGCGTTAAGGTCAAGATTTATGAAGCTTGCAAAATATTCTAACGAATTTTTTATCAATTATTCAATAGTTTGTATAAACGTTTTTATGAAGCTTGCAAAGCAAGTTTTACAAAAGTGAACATTTTATCAATCATTCAATAATTATATTTATTATTTATTGATGTATATAACTTTCTCTTTTATTTTAACTTATATTTAATAACGTCACTATGATAAATAATTAAATGAGAAATAAAAACACCTTTTGATTAATCATTATTGTTACTTGTTTATTATTCTAATCATTATTTATGTAAAGAAAAAATTTAACATTTATTTATTATATTTACTTTTAAAATAAATGATTTTACTATAAAAGACATACCTAAGCGATCAAAAATCTGTAAATGTTCATAATAATGTAATATTTGGACATTTATTTTTACTTATACTTGCAATTGGACACGCCAAAAAAAATTTTATGTATATGAATATAAAGGCAAAATTTGACTTTGAGGGTCAGATTATTTTCGGTTTTATTAACAACCTGCTTTAAAAATTTTCATAAAGCAGATAGATATATATGATAAAGAAGTTATATCTCAAATTTGCTCACAGAAAGGGTATCAAACGAGAGTGTGAAGACATTCGATTATAAAATTTCACTATTACTATTACTATTACTATGTAAATTCGAATTTTACTACGCGGCGGGAAATGTCATGCGACTGTAATCTTTCCACAACAGATTTTAAATAAAATTTCTTATGTGTTCATTCGCTGTGACAAGGTTGACTGTGTTTAGTGAAACTGGAAACACAATGACAGCCAAACGAACAAAAGGGAGAAGAAGTGGCGGAAGTTACTACTACTATTCAAAGTAGTAGTTCATCACAACAAGATCAGGACCAACAAAGTGATGATCTAATTGCATCAGATATCCATCATTGTACAAATTCAAGGGTGTGGACCAAGGAAGATAAAACCATTTTATTAAAGTATTGCCTTAGAAAACGAATAAACACTGATGAACTTTACGAATTGGGTCTATTAAAAAAATCTCAGGCAATGTCTAAGCAGTGGAAATCAATGAAAAATAAGATCAAGAAATCATTTGGCGTTGATTTTTAATAATAGTAATAATAATAGCAAACTTTACGATTAATTATTTTTTTATATAACTAAAAATATCATTTCTATTTTTTAATAAATTTATTTTTTGAAGTAGTCATATTATGTTATAAATTGCTATTAAAATACTAATGTTCCAAATTGGGTTCCCTTTTCTGTTTGTTTATTATCTGTAATACATAAACTTAATAACTTAGTACAAGTATTAATAATAAACATTTGATTTCAATTTTGTCTATGACAAAACAAGAATTACATATCCTCCTAAAATAAATGGCATGTTCTTTGGGATGTTATACGGAATTTTTAATCTAAAAGTGATAATAAGTTGATGTATAATAAATTGACAAAAATGAAAATTAAATATAATGGTTCTGATGAAGGCATTGATTTTTTAGAAAAAGGTTGTGATTGTGGCTGTTCATCAATAGTTTCCAAGAACGAATTTGTAGAATTACGTGAATCCTTTCAAGCCTGAACATATTTTAATGGCTCAACTTAAGGCAATGGATGGTGGATCAATAAGCATTAGCAGACGCCTTAAAAAGAAAACCAAATCTAACAAAAGAACTTCCCATCACGGGATCATAACACATCTCTTTGTCAAGAAACTTATGCTGGGAATTGGTAATAGTAAGACTTTGAAAACCAGAATATTTTCAAGAATAACAATTTTTAATCCCTGAAATTTCCCCGTGACATAATTATTTTCCAGTCACGTGAAATCGAACATTTCATTAACAAATTTGTATGTGGCACAGTCAAATTTTATACTGAAATTATTGGTTCACTTCGCCAAATTTAACAATAAAATTAATTATAATAATGGATCAAACAACTCCAAAAGATTTAATTAAAATTAGTACCGATCAAACTGTTACTACATTAACTACACAAACATCTCAACCTAAACAAGTTATATTAGATGAAGATTCTTATACCGAGGCAATTAGTGAAATTATTAAAAGAGATTTTTTCCCCTCTCTTATAACTTTGGAAGCTCAGAATGATTATGTCGATGCTTTGGGTACGAATGATCCTGATGTTATTCGAGAAGCTACAATTAAATTAACCAATTTGACAACACCAGCTAATAAGACACCTGGTAGATAACATTGTACTGTTTTCATTATATGATGTGTTTTCTATATATATAATAGAAAATATAAATTCACTTATTCATTCATCCATTTATTTAATAATTATTTAGTTGCAACTCCAAGAATACCACCATCAGAAACTCCTTTAACATCCAGACAAATTGGAGAATGGGACACACCAGCATCTACAACCAGTAGATCAACAAATTTATTTAAGGCTCACGAATCCTTGGAGAAAAATTATGATACAAACATGTCTTTAGATTCTTTTCAAACAAAATATACTAGCGAGGACAATGCTTCATATCCTTTTATTTCTTCTTTCGATTGATTAATTAATTTTATATATGATTTGTCATCTATTTACAATCATCGTTATTGTCGCCACTAATTAAATCCTTGACCAAAGTTCCCCTACCTTTTCAGAACTAATGCATAAAGCTAATGAACAAAGAAAGCAAAAATATAAATGGTTATATGAAAAAGAGCAATTATCCATTGAAAACAATAGTAATGATAGCATAAAGTTGATAGAAGGATCAAATCAAGAGAAACCTGCTGAAATTTCTACTTGGAAATATAAAGTAATATTATATATATCAGTTATTATGAATGTAAATTTGATTATAGCCAATGATCGATTTATTTATATTTATCTATCCATTTTAATTATTTAAGGTTCGTAATTCATTAATGTTTTATCCAGAAGGTCATCAAACTCAAAATATCGAAGACCATTCAAGAGCACCTCCAAAAAAAATTGTTCATGATGCGACAAGATTCGAATCTGCTGAAGAAATGGTATTTATTTTATTTTCCTTTTGA